TCATGTTTTAGTCCCCAATTTAACTAAATGTTTTATAAAGCCACTAAGTCATGTTTTAGTCCCCAATTTAACTAAATGTTTTATAAAACCACTAGGTCATGTTTTAGTCCCCACTTTAACTAAACGTCTGATAAATCCACTAGGTTATGTTTTAGTCCCCACTATAACTAAATGTTTTATAAATCCACTGGGTCATGTTTTAGTTCCCACTTTAACTAAATGTTTTAGTAAGCCACTAAGTCATGTTTTAGTCCCCACTATAACTAAACGTCTGATAAATCCACTAGTTTATGTTTTAGTCCCCACTGTGGATTATGTTTTAGTCCTCCAGTTTTCCATAATAAAGAAAAAAAACGCATGCTTTGTCCGTTTGTTACAAAATCCTTACATATAAAGTACGATTAGAACTTACGCTTAAAAATTTCTAACCTGATCAATTAAAGATTGAGAAAAACAGTTTTAAAGGCCACTTCTTTCTCCTTAACTACACACTTAAATTATAGAAATGTCGAACAATCAACGTTAAATGACTTTATTACTAAAGGTTACCTAGGCCTAATAATATAACAATTTCCTAAGCCTAATGATTCCTAGGCCTTATGATAATAAAGGTTTTAAAATGTTCTCTAATTTGGGATTTTAAATAAAATACGAATAAGTATTTAAAGAAAAGTAAAAAAAAACATGGTTGTTATTTTAACATTGAACATTTCAACAGTGACATCTGTTGTTTAAATTTCCTGTTATTTTTATCAACATTTGATTTGTATACTTCATCACAGTCTGTGGTCGCCCTTGATCTAAGTAATCCTTATTTTTATTGATATTATTTGTCGAGCATGAGCAGAATAATATTTTTTGTAAATTACGCAGTTACTTTTCAGCTATGATGTCATAAAAATTAGGGATTGGAAAGAATATCAGTGAAGAATGTTTCGATTAATGATTACCTGTGACCCAGAAGAAAACCAACCACTCCACCAAAGAGGGTGGAGGCCCCCGGATGTTCTGCCTTGATCGTTCGGACCCCTCCAACCTTGTAGAAGCAAGTACCAGCAAAAGAAGAAAAAACCCAAAGGAGGCACTAGAAAAGGTAAATTTATACTAGACACTACGTCTCAAGACTAATCAGGTGTTGATGAATCATTACAAATTTGAAACTAATGTTTTAAAATAATTAGAGTATTATCTAATCAGTTAAACAGATAACTGTAAACCAAATCAGCGAATGCTTCTCTTTATCCATTTAAAAGTAATTTAACGATGGACACGAATCGGTAGACACCTAATAGGGCGAATCCACGTAAACACAAAAATACCTGTGGTAAATGAACTTCATGAATGGAGACCGGAGAACTTGGCCTAATTTGGACCTGGGTAGGGTTAGATAATAAAGGGTAATGACTGGCATGCAAGCTATAAGTCCAGAACACATTACTAGCTTCATAATCCCGTTCCAACGTCGCCAGACAGGTATACCTTCGTACCATATGGACGTCAGCAGCTGCTGACAGTTGGGGTGAGCTACAAACTGGCAATAAGAAATGACGGAAAGTAAAAGTCAGCTGTAAGATAATAACACGGCTTAACGAACACTTAATCGCCTACTTACAAGTTTAACTTTGAACTAATTACGTACATATATTTTAATATATGCGTTTATTTGGAAAGTAAAACTACTCGGTCTGACTGAGGTAGTATATATATTCTTCTTTTTTCAATTGTCAAAATAAAAAGGTTTGTAGTTATATTTCTTAACAGTATAAATATACATTATGTTGTTCTTGGCTCAGGATTCTTCTAGAGTAGGTGTCTGAGACTTGTTAGCGATAAATTCAACGAATATATATATATATATATATATATATATTCGGAACAAATTAAACGTATGTACAACAAATTTTTCAACACTATAGATATTATAGGCATATCTTAAACACTATATATGTGCGATTCTCTTCTTGTCAAAAGACCACTTACTGTGACTTAGGTCTTAGGCCTAATCAATTACTTTAGAATTTCAGTGGACAAGCCGAACTATCTTTCCTATTACTATTGCACTAGTATTCTGTGTGATTCGCTTACAATTTACAAGTTACCGTAATCGTTTGGTCATCTTTTTTTCTGAAGATCCTATGTTGGTTTTGTCAAAGTGCACTTAGGCTGATTCAATTACTTTAGAACCACTCTTTAACGGAATAAATTATTTTTCTTGTCTCCATTTCTACTGTTAGTCTTACTCTAATATATTAAATGTTAGGCCTATGTCAATCGTTAGGCCTATCACTTCTACGGTACTTAACTTCAAGCCGAACTTTTCCTCGTTGTAACTTTGCTCTATTCTGCTATTGTCTGTCTGCTGCTTCCCGCTCATCTCAAGCTATTTATATCTTTATTACCTAAACGTCTGTTCACTTCTATATTCTCGACGTCAATGTATTGCACGCGACGTTTAATAGTCTCAACATCAATGAATTATTAACAATACTTCCTACAATCGTCTGCTTTTAACTAATATTATAACAAAACTAAACAATAATAAAATATTCACTCACAAAAATATATAAATCAATAATATATAAACTAAACAGTCTTTTATATCATGACAATCTGGTAACAGAATACTAGCCAATATTATATTAGGTCTTAAAGAAATTAATGTCGCTTTTTTTTAGATGAAAAAACCTGAACAACATATACAATAAAAAAACTAGTTTTATTTCCTCCTTAACATTGGTTTACATGGTTTATCATTTTTTAACTTGGTGTAGGCCTATGTTTACAGCCACACTATCTGCACTACACTAGGTTAAAAAACAAATACGAGCCACTTTGTGTGGGGGTGGGGACTGTACAAAGTAACTAAATATACCGATAGCTAAAATAGCCTCCATTCTTATCGATGATGCTTTTCCATCTTACAATAAGGTTGTTAATGCCCTGATTGAAGAAATCACTTGGCTTTGAATCAAAAAACATATCAACATCCTCTTTAATACTTTCCACATTTGCATACGTTTTCCCATTAAATGGTGTTGCAGCGAACTAAAAAGATGGTAATCTGATGGTACCATCTCTGGAGAATATGGTGGGTGGGGAAGAGCTTCCCAACCCAATCCATAATCTTCTGTTGCGTCAAACGTGCCACATGTGGACGTGCATTGTCGTG